ATCTCAAAGTCACCTGATGTGCTGAATTCTTATGAGCATATAGTTTCTTAATTTTATTAAAAATAATACCTGTGTATACCCTAGCCAGTTTAGCTCAGTGGTTAGAGCGTTGGGCTTTGGACTGAAGGTCCCGGGTTTGATTCCAGCCAAAGGCATGTATGTCGATTGTAGACTTGATTCCCAGCCCCTGGTTGGGGCGCATGCAGGAGGTAATCAATTGATGTGTCTCTCTCACATCGATGTTTCTCTCTCTTTCTCCCCCTTCCCTTCTCTCTGAAAAAAGCAATGGGAAAAAAATTCTCAGATGAGGATTAAAAAAAATAAAAAATAAAAATAAAACCTATGTAATGAATGCTTATTATGTGTCAAGCACTATCTTAAATATTTTATATACCTTATCTAGTTTATCTAACATAACATTATTTTTTCCTCCGTAACAGTTCTATGAGATAGAGACTATTATTCCCTTCATTTTACAACAGAAGACTTCAGTGAGAAGTCACACAAATCATTTAAGTGTTAAAACTTGGATTCAGTTTGCTCATCTCCAAAGCTCCAGTGCTTCACCACTCTGCTGTGCTTTTCTTCAAAAAGTGCATTTAGGGATCCTGTGGTAGTAGCATCAGATGAGTTTAAAAGTCAAGGAGAGGTAGTAATTTTCTTACCTTGGCGATTTTCTTTTATTTCTTGTCTTGTCTTTTCTTTTCTCTTCTCTCTGCTCTGCTCTTTCCTTCAATCCTTCCTTCACAATTATGGTAAAATTCACATAACATAGAATTTACCATCTTAACCATTTTTAAGTTTACAATTCAGTTCACATTGTTGTGTTACCAGTCTCCAGAACTCTTCTTACAAAGCTAAAACTCTTTACCAACTGCAAATTCCTCCCTTCCCCACAGCCCCTGGTAACAACCATTCTACAGTCTGACTGTATAAATTTACTATCCTAGGTACCTCATATAAGTGGAATTATACAGTATTTGTCTTTTGTGACTGGCTTGTTTCATTTAGCATATCATCAAAGTTCATGCATATTGTAAAATTTCTTTCCTTTTTTAGGGCTGAATAATATTCCATTGTATGTATATACCACATTTTGTTTATCCATTCATCTGTTGATGGACATCTTTTGAGTGTTGTGAATAATGCTGCTATGAACATTGATGTATAAATTTTTTTTTTGAGACCCTGCTTTCAATTCTTTTGTATATATACCAGAAGTAAAATTGCTGGATCATATGGCAATTCTATCTTTAATTTTTTGAGGTCTTATTTTAAAAGATATTTAAAGATATCAATCTCTTGGGAACCCTCTTACTGGTAGTAACAATGATCTTTGTTTAGGGACAAAGTTAAGCAGGACTAGACCTTCCCTTTACTCTGAAAATCCAAGCAGATTTGAGGGCTAATTAATTTTTGTGGTTTTGATAACTTTGAATGAAAATTCTCCTGCATTTAGGCAGGTTCTCCATATTTTGTGGATATATATATATATATATATATAT